TAGGGTTGTAGGATTGAGGTCCCTGCTTATTTGCTGGCTGCCAGCAGGACACTCTCTCAGTCCTCAAAGATATCCATTCCTTGCCCTTGGTCTCCTCCATTTTCAAATCCAGAAATGGGGTCTATCCTTCTTGCTTGGAAACTCTGACTTCAGGAAGACCCCAGTCCCTTTTAAGGGTTCAATTGATTAGGTCAGGCTCACTTAGGATATTTCCTCCTCCTCCTCCCCCTCTTTCTCCTCCACTACCTCCTTTTTGGAGCTAGGGATCAAACCCTGGCCTATGCACTCTAGGCACACACTCTAACACGGAGCTCCGCCCACAACCCTCTCCTTTCTTAAGGTCAATTGTATCACGTCACATAATATAGCCATATAAGTAGAACCACATTTATGGATTATGCAGTTTGTGTACCCCAGGAGGTGGGGGGGTTAGGCTAAGAGGACATCTTAGGATTCTGCCTATTACAAGGACTTTTGAGGTCATTCCTAACTCTTCGGGGTGGGGTGGGGAATCAACCAGTAAAGTTAGAGATTCCTTAGCCTTTTGGGAGATCATAAAAGAATCTCGTGGGAAGTTGGGACCCTCACCCTGAGAACATCACCATATGTTGCCTCTGATTGCAGGATCTGATTCCTAGAGGGAATGCCTGGGGACCGGTGAGCAGAGCCCCTTTGAGCCTTATTCATAGTTTCCAGGCTGAGAAATCTGGAGCAGGGTGTAGGGAGGGGTGAGATAGAGTGAGGGCTGAATGGTGAGAGTGCAGGTGTGGAGCTGCAGAGTTTTCTGCCTCTGAGCTGCTACGTATTGGGGGTTGATGGGAGGGAAGTAAGCGAGAGTTTCTTGGCACCGGTCACTGCTGCCAAGGTAACCTCTGTTCAATGCCTGGTACCACACCTCATGCAGAAGCCCACACTGTAGCAGGGTAGAGCCTTCAGTGCTTGTTGAGACCGATTTCTGCTCTAGTCAGGCTGCAGAACTTCCCATAAGTCTACAGCTTGGAAGAGCATCTAAGGGTGAGAATAGGGAACATTAAATGCAGAAGCAATCTGTCAGGTCCTCCAGGAGAGTGCAGATGTCAAGATGGGTGGGCGACAGAGTCTGTTTAGGGACATCTAAATTCTGTAGTAACTCAGAGTCCAGTGATGGAATTTTCAAGGCTCAGGGTCTGCAACATGCGTCCAACCCTCCTGGGAAAGGGGGTGGGCCTACAAGTAGAGGTGAAGGGCATTAGTCCCCCTTGTTCAAAGGCACTGGGCCCCAAGCTCTCCAGTCCTTTGCTTTCCTTCAAAATCCATATCTATTACTCACACTATAGCTTGTGATATCGAGAGAGGACATGCTGATTCAAGGGCCCCTGTGGGTAGAGCTCAGCCTAAATTATGCCATTGGCACCTGATGTAGACATTGGTCTCTGGAGAGCTTTATTAATGTGTGTCAACCTGATCACTTCTGAGCTTAATCATATGAGCAGCATTTACTTATTKAGCAATAACTAAATGCCAATTACAAAATTGGATGCTGAATGCTGCGTCCATCAAGGTTYTTAGTGGCAGTCCATAGAAATATTTCCTGGCTGAGCTGAGCAGGAAAACAAGTATACTGCAAAGAAGTAAAGTTCATAAAGAATCCTGGATCCATCCTCCAGCTCTGGGGGCACTGCAGCCTGGAAACCTGACCTTGTCCTCCCTAGCCACTGCCAGAGAGAGGTCTTCCTGGTTCCCATTTGTTCTGTCACTAGCTCCAGGTTCAGAGTCTTAAATGGACATTTACATTCAATAGAGCCTCGTCTATGCCTTGGCTACAAAGGAGGCTGGGAATCGACTTGACTTTTGTCTTCAATAATCACATGCCACCCCTGACCAAGATCCGTGGCAAGAGGAGTCCCTTTGAACACCACAGGAAGGGGTGAGGTGGCTGGGCAGCTCACACTATGTCTGCTATTATATATGCATTATCTCATTCATTCCTTCTGGCTGTGGGTGACAGCCAGAAGGAATGATGATAATGMGGGACAAGGAGGTTCAGGAACTCAGCCACCGTTGCACAGCTATTACGTGGTAGACTCCAGGCTGACTGTGACTTGGACTGCCTGATTCCTGAGCCTGCACTCTCAACCCACTGGACATGGAGAGATGAAATCTCAGGGTCACTAAGCTGTGGACTTCAGATCCTGAAGGGTGTGACATAGAAGACAGATTTCCTTCAAGGATAGGGGTGCCTCAGGAGCCAACTGGCTCCCAAGAACCAGCTTGTCATTTTCTAAATGGTTTGTCCAACATGAAAATCATTCCTATAAGGGAATGCCTGGGGACCGGTGAGCAGAGCCCAGCTCGTTGCTCCTCCCTAGTCTGTTGTCTAGTATYCCCTTGATTCCTGCTCCTGTCTGTTTAAATCAGTGGAGAGGAAGAAGGATATCTCCATTCTTAGTTCCAGACAGGATGTATTCTTATCCTGCTTGTTCAATCCCTTTGAACTATTCTGCTAACTTCAGTTGGAAGGTAGTAACACTGCCCTGCACCTCTGCTGAGGGTCATCCCACCTGTTCACCTGTGCTCAYGATGCTCCCTCTGCCTGGGATGCCTCCATTTCCTTCCCTTCTATTTACCACCTTTCCATCTGGACRAGAGCCAGGCCCTTATCTCCAGGGAGCCCTTTCTGCTATTCTGCTGTGGATGAACTTCCTCCTGAATTGGCAGAGGGTGAGCCTAGCTTGGGTCCGACCCCTTTCCTCTCACTTTACCTGTTATGCATCTCATCTTCCCATTCAGTCTATAAGCAAATCAAGGCACAGATTACCCCTCAGTCTGGTTTTGTCTCTGCTTGCACACAGCAGGCGCACAGGAAGAGAGAGAAGTTGGGGGCCAGAGAAAACTGGATTTTAACCCTGCTATTTACTCGGACTATTTACTTAACCATTTTCATTCATATTTATTAAGAACCTATTATGTRCCAGGCACTGTGACACCCAACACCAATTATACAATTGAGTAAAGAGATGTGGCCTCCTGTCATCACAGAGCTTTTTTGTCAAGGGAAGAGGGTAGATTTTGACCCACAGACCAGATAAACACACACACACACACACACACACACACACACACACAGCTAAAAATGTCTAACTGCAATAAGGACAAATCCGTGGTTCTCCAAGAAGAACACAGAGGAAATTGATCCAGTGTGGGCAGTGGGGGGCGGGGGGCTGGGGCTGGGTCAGGAGTCACAAGCCTTACCTAGAAAATTTTTTAAAGTTGAAATGAGACAATACGTGCCATGCACAGCATTTAAAAACGTGCAGTAAATATTACCAGCATAAGGATCAGTGAATTGGTCAGCTGAATGGTCAGGTTCTGATGCAAAGTGGTTAAGCACACAAAGGGACACTTTGTGTGCTTAGATATCCTCAGGGMAGTGATTCCCAGACTGATTTCCCATCCGAATCAGCTGGAAACTTCTCAAAAATGCAAGACATCTGCCCTCCCCTCTGGACCTRCTAGCCAGCCAGAATTTTCCAGTGAAGGGTTTGTATAGTTTTTAAATCTTTAATAAAGCCTCTCCCAGTATTATAGATTTAGCACACATTGATCATAACCATTGAAGAAATGCAAAGTTATAAAAAGAAGGAAAAGAACAATCTCCCTCTCCACTCTCTCCTGTGGAGGCCAGCAAGGTCAGCAGGCTGGTATGAATCCTTTTTAGCATTCCAGCTCTTCTAGTGACCATATAAAAGAAACTTACATATAAGCACCTGCAGAGGGCTTTTTCTTTGTAATGTATTGCCATCCTAAATGCTTTTCTTGCATCTTGCTTTCACTTACTAACACAGTAGCCACATCTTGTCAGGTGGACAGCGCTTCTAATAGCCCCATGGCAATCTCTAGAATAGATGGGACACATTTTATTCTCTGTCCTATTGATGGATATCCAGGTTGTTTGTGATTCTTCAGTCAAGCCATACATAACTGTGTACAATTTTTCTTACTTACAGRTGCTTTTATGTCTAAAAGACCGTCTCCAAAGAAGGAACTGGATCAAATGACCAAATGTGCATTTTTATTTCTAATAGATACTGAAAGCCGCATTCCCCAAATGTCTGTGGCAATTTGCATCCTCCACCAGGAAAGCAAGAAAACTGTGGATTTTAGAAAATCTCCTTAGGAGATTCTGAAGAGCAGTCCAGGGTGGACATTCTCATCCCAGAGCCGAGCCATAAGGGCCCCCACATGCTTGAAAGGGACTTRGGGAGAGACCCTGGCAGCTAACGAGTGGGCTCCCCAGGAAGCGAGAAATGTCTTTTAATCAGTCCTCTCATCTCCCTCTGGCTGAWGCAAACCCTCCTTCCCCAGGGGAACTTCCTCAAGGTCTTCTATAAAATGCCACTGTGTAGCAGAGGGAGGGAAGACTCTGGGCAGGTGAGTGCTCTTCTCCTTTCCGGTGGCGCTAASGCTCATGACAGTTCCACCTCCTGAGAGGTGCCTGGCTTGGGCTGAGGGCATCTGGAGGGCTGTCAGGGACTGCTAGTGGCCTTCAGGTTACATGGGTGCCAGCAGGGATGGGACTTCTCTCTTTGGCATGAGGGAGGTTGAGGGTGATGACCTGAGAGGCATGTGTGGCATCTGAGCTCCGGGGAGGGGGACACATTTTCTAAATACTGTGGGTTCCCAGGAAAGCCAAGGCCCATTGCTTCTCCATCCTTTCTTGGTTGTAGACTCCGAGGGGATCCATTAAATACAAATAAATAAACATAATATTCTCTCCACTTCTGGGCTCACCGGGAAGCCAGCCCCAGCCGTCCCTCGTGGTCTGCTGTGTTCTTTTCAGAGAGGTTCCCAGTGTCCTGGAGCAGCCAGACTGGGCTCCCTCAGCACTCACTTCTCTGGTCCATCTTGACTTCTGTTCTTGACTTCTTTTTCTCCACCTCCCTCCCAAGGTTCCCTAATTGTCTGGCTCCTATGCGTGTGTCAATGACAAACTTGTTTCTCCATTGCAGGACAAAGCCAGGATGAAACTCCCTCTATTTCTGACTCTTCTGGTTGGGGCCGTTTCTACTCTTCATCTGAGTAAGTCTTGGCCTTCAGTCTTCCTTTCTCTATTTTGTTTTGKTCTATGGTAGATGAGTCTGAAGCAAGTACTCGCTCCCTTCCCTGATCATGCCCAAATTTAGAATCTCTGTTCAGGCATCTGTTATGACTATAGTCTTGGATCTATTGTGACAGTCCCTATTTTGTCCAGTCTACATAATGCTAGTGGTGCGCCCAATTCCTTTTACTTTGAGCTCACTGAGAATGTCGTATGCATTGTCTCCTTGACTCCTTAGAGCATCTCCACGAGGTATGTAGCATTGCTTATCAATTTCACAAAGAAATAACGCCAGTAGTAAATGGAGCCAGGAATCGAACCTAGAGGGCCTGACTCCAAGCCCTTGCTCTTAACCACCTTGACCTCAAGGGGGAGGCTGAGTTCTCCTCCCAGAGGCGCGGTTGCAGATTTCTCTTTCCAGGCAGAGTTGAGAGGACAATGGCTGGCACGGGGGCAGGGCAGGAGCTGTCCATGGTTCCGAGGAAGAACCAGGGCACGAGGTGAAGGACGGACACTTGGTCTTTCTCCCTGCCAGGGACAGAAACTCCCGACTTCAACAGCCCCTTGGAAAATGAAGCCTTGCCTCAGGATGGGGAGATACTAGAACCAGAACCTGAGGAGGCCCCTGCTGGGAAGCTGATGCCGATGGAGGAGGAGGTAGAAGGAGGCTCTGGAAGCGAAGGTGATCCTGAGGAAGAGGAGGCTATGGATTCAGACTCAGCCCTGGATGTGGTGGACAAGGACCTTCAGTGCCCTAAGGAAGAAGACATAGTCAAACTGGAAGGCAGCCCTGGATGCAAGACGTGTCGCTACCTCCTGGTGAGGAGGGCCAAACAGTTTAATAAGGCTCAGGTGAGTGAGGCTGAGGCTGGGCAGGGGAGGGGGCAGGAGACATGTCTTCAGCTTCTGAGGCACTGGTTCTTTTCCCTTTTGAGGGCTCTGGGGTGTCAGTAGAGGCTGAGGCCTCCAGAGGTGCTGGGGTCAGATGGGGGGATATGTGCAAACTTGATGCATTTTGTACACGACTTTATTTTGGTATCAATATATTTGAAATCCCCCCCTTTTTTCCCATGTTGTCTTTTGTTCACCAATCTTTGAAATAGTCGTGGTGGGGAGGTAGAGCATACATTTTGGAGACTCAAGAGACCCAAGGCTCTGGCCATGGGGATTCCTGTGTGAAGGACACTGCATTCTCCCTCTTTTTCCCTGTCTTGCAGTTTGTCTGTCAGAGGTGCTACCGGGGCAACCTCGTCTCCATCCACAACTTCAGCTTTAATTACCAACTCCAGTGCTCCGTCAGGGTGCTCAACCAGGGTCAAGTCTGGATCGGAGGCAGGATCGTGGGCAGGGTAAGAGGAGTGCCAGCCCCTGCTGACCCCAGCCAGGGCCCAACTTGCTGTGGATGTGTCTGCATTTCTGCTCTATGAGCCTCTGAACGGCTGGGAAAGGAAGCGCACCTGGACGAGGCACCCACGGCCTGCCCAGGCATTGGGAAGAGCCGAGGACTTAGAATCAGGAGATCTAGGCTCAGGTTCCTCTTGGCCTCTATCTCCATGAACTGGGCAAGATTGTGGGCCTCTCAGCTCTAGGATGGGGCAACTTAAGGGTGATTGTGTCACTGGGATGCCCAGCATGCGATGACGGTGCAGTTGACCAGGACAATGTCCACTGTGGTCAAGGGCCCATGGCCCTGCAGACAGCAGGAAGAGCCAGCAAGGACAGCACTGGTTCTGTCTCTCTGCCTCCCTCTACCCCTCCTCAGTCTACCACTTCTCCTTCTACCTTCCCTAGGGCCGTTGTAAAAGGTTCCTCTGGGCTGATGGCAGCTCTTGGAATTTTGCGTACTGGGCTGCTGGCCAGCCCAACACCTGTGGTGGCAGATGTGTGGCCCTATGTACCCGAGGTGAGATGGGCTGGGGATGAATGATGGGAAGTTCTGGGAGGCGCCCAAAGAGGCAGCTCTAGGGAAGGAGCCTCGCTCTCCAGGGAGAGGCTTGGGGCTGGTGGCAGGAGTTGGGGGGGGGGTCTTCCTGGGGGAAGAAGAAGGGGTAGGCAGGAGGCTGATGGCTCCTTCTTGTTCTGCCTGCTCAGGAGGTAACTGGCGTACCGCTCACTGTGCCAAAAGACTTCCTTTCCTCTGTTCCTACTGAGGTGGTCCCAGCCAGGAGCTAGAATTGGCCCCCTCCCAGGCAGCTGCCTCCCTTTTCCTGTCTGCTGCCTTTCCTGCCACTTCCCTACAATAAAATTGCTATGCTGAAAAAAGTGCATTTTTTTTCCTGAGATCATTGGTCCATAYTGCTTAGCCTCACCTTTGGACTTTCTGCCTTATGATCCCAACCCACATTCTATACCTTTCATAGAATGGTTTAGAAGTTATTGCTCCTCAAGGATGGAGAGTGGAATTGGGGTCTGTGGAGCTTTCCAGTGGCAGCTGAATGGGCTCTGGTGGGTCTCAGAAGATCCAATTGAGGGGCATCTATGTGCAGGTGTTGCCAGGAAGTTCTTCCAGAACTTCCAGGGTTTCGGGTGGGCTTATATGTGCATCTCTGTGTCCAAGGGCCTTTTTCACTCATTCCTCCCAACCCCAGAACTGCGGTTGGTTTGATGTGATTGGAAATTGACACGTCCCTGGGAACAGCAGACAACTCTCAGAAGTGGGTACATAAGCACCCCAGTCCTTTGCCCCTTAAATGGAATAGATCCATGGCATGTATTGGGCASCACTTYTCAGTCACCCATTAAGTGACTGGCCTTACAACACACCTTGTACTGGCTGCCTGCTCTTCCCCAGATGAATTCTCTGCTTCCTACTAGTATCTCTGCACTTCCCAAATTTACTATAGTATTTACACTCAAATCCTTGCCTCAAGCTCTGCTTCTGGGAAAATCCAGAAGAAGACAACCTGCTATGCATCAGATTCCAAATAAGACTGGAAATATAAGACACAGTTTCTTGTCTTTCGGGAACACACATATATTTCCCCCCACCCTTGATATGAGGGAATGAACCTAGGGGTGCTCTACCATTGAGCTACAGCCCCAGCCCTTTTTGTTTGTAATTGGAGATGGGGGAGGTCTTGATAACTTGCTGAGGTTGGCCTTGAACTTGTGATCCTCTTGCCTCAGTCTCCTGAGTAGCTGGGAATACAGRTATACACCATCACCTCCAGCTCATGTAGTTTTTAATAATATAAGCTCAATAAGTTACTCATTACTACCACTTTTTGAGCACCCACAAAGTACCCCCAGCTGTGGCAGGTATTTTACATAATTACTTTGTGCAATCAATCATTCTTATTTCTACTTCGCAGAAGCAGACTCAGAAAAGTCATGACTTGTCAAAAGACTTGCCCAAGACTAAACATCGGAGTGTATCCAATGCCAAGATCTGACTCTAGCTGCTCTAAAGTCTGTTTCTTTAACCATTATGACCCCATGGCTGGAGGCTTTGGCTGCTCTCCCTCACTCCTGGGTTTCTCTTGGGGCATAAGACTCAACCCAGCTGGAGATGAGGAAGCTTCCATCAGAAGAAAGGCCTTCTAAACCCCTCCTCCACTAGGGACGCCAGCAGAGTAAAAGGGGTCAGTGCCCTGAGGCCCTTTCCCTTTAGGAATCTTCAAATTCACAGAACATGGGACAAATTCATAGAACACGGGACAGGGGTCTTAGAGGGATACACAACAAGAACTCATTGTTTTTGAGTGTGGCTCAGAGAGGGGAAGGAGTTTGTCCAGGGTCTTTCAGTCAATTGAGAAAGAGACAGAACTCAAACTTAGGTCCACTGCAAACACTGCTCTAGGGCAGCGCTGGTTTCACAGATGGCAACATGTGAAACAGGTACGATGGGCTCTGCCCTGTGGTGGATGCTGTGAGAATGTAGCTGAAGGCCTTTCACTCCTTGCCCTCATGGACTTTATACTCTAACGTGGAAAGGGCACTGTTTCCTCATATAATAAAGAATAATAGGGGCCACAGGTGTAGCTCAGTGGGAAAGCACTTGCTTGGCATATATGAGGGCCTGGGTTGGATCCCCAGCAAAACACACACACACACACACACACACACACAATTAAATAAAATCTCCCATTTGCTAGGCACTTATTATGTGCTAGGTTCTATTGGGGTGGTGGGTGGATTTTATCTTTTTCCTCACACATCTCTTTGGTTGGGTGTGTGTTGACTCTCAGTCCATGGAGATTCCCTTTGGGGGATAATGTCAAGAAGGAGGCGGGAGGGAGGCTTCAGGGCTCCTCATCCTGTTCCGTCTATTGTTCTGGGTGTGGTTACGCGGTGGCGCCCACTGTGAAGCTTCCCTGTGCTGTCCACTCTCCAGTGCACAGGGCAGGGTGCATGTTATTTGTTCATAAAAAGATTTTTTTTAAAGTAAAGATCACRAAATAAGGAGAATTGCTGTGCATCTTAATGTATGTGCGTGTGCAATTCTTTCTGACAAGAAGCTAACTGAGCTCTGGGAAATGAAGATCACCCCTTGGGAATGGCACGTGTGTAGTTCTTTACRCGGTGCAAAGAGCAGAGTAGCAAAGAGCTCAAAGGACGCAGCGCTCACTGCTTACTCACTGATGAGGCCGCCCGCAGCTCCGCGTGCCTCATCTCAGAAAGTGACTGACAAGAGCCACCCMCAACTCCACAACCAGATGATGTCATTAGAGGAAGGTCCTATTATTATCCTTACAGATGAGAAAACTGAGGAACAGAGTGGCTGACTCTGGGCCTTGTGATTTCGCTGTACACCACACCATGTGCCTGGGTTTTTTGTTTTTTTGTTTTTGGTTTTGTTTTGGCACTGGSGATTGAACCCAGATCCCCAYACAGGTTAGGCAAGCACTCTGCTGCTGAGCTTCCACCCCAGTCCTTTTTCATTTTTTAAAATTTTGAGACAAGATCTCACTAAGTTACCCAGGCTTGAACTTGTTGTGATCCTCCTGCCTCAGCCTCCTGAGTAGCTGGACCATGTGACTTTAAAGATGATGAGACCCAGCCTTTGTGTAGTGTGGGGTTGGACTAAATCTGTAAACATCGCTGCCGACAGTCATCTAAAGACTTGTTGTTCCAAGTACGTTGAAACCGTTGGCACCACTGGCCAGACGGTGTAGCACGTTTGGGTCTATCAAACAAGGACTAGGAAGTCAGACAGACTARGGTCCTGAATACCATTTATTACTAGTTTGTGAAACTTGGGTAAGTAATTTAACCTCTCCTGATTTTGTAGTAAATATGTAGAGATGACAATACCCAATTTGTAGAATGATTTTTTAAAAGACTATGTTGTAGGATCTAGTCTGGGGTGGACCTTCAAAAATGTCATTTTTGAGCCAGGCATGGTGGCACATACCTGTACTCCAAGCACCTCAAGAGGCTGAGGCAGAAAGATCCCAAGTTCAAGGCCATCCTGGGAAACTCTGTRAGACTCTGTCTCAAAATATAAAAAGGACTGGGGATGTAGCTCAGTGGTGGAGTGCCCYGGGTTCCATTCCAAGTACAAAAAAAAAAAAAAAGTCATTTCTGGTTTTAACTCAGACAGGCATCACCATTGTGGTCATTGATGAGGTTGTTGAAATCATTAGAATGTCTTTGCCTGAGGTTTGTGTGCAAAACAAAAACAAGAAAAACGAGTCAACTCGAGGCAGGGAATGGGCTTGGAGAGGAGGGAGGTCCATGGGAGGAGGCTGGAGGAAGGCAGTTGTGGGTGGGTAAGGAGCCTGAAGACCTGGGTTTAGGCTGATCTCCAACTTGCTCTGTGCTCTTGGGCTCTCTGAGATGCCATTTCCTCATCTCTAAAATGATGGAGGTGCTGCCTCCTGAAAGAGCCAAGATAATAGGTCATCCGACCTCAGGTAGAATGGAGCCCTGGCCTGGGTTCCGGGGTGAGGGAGTGAGGGTGAATATGGAGGGAGGTCTCAAGTTTGAAATCCCTTGACCAGGCTCTTGGGCCCTGGCATTGGCCAATCCTCCCACAATCAGGTAGATAAGCAGGTCTGGTTCGTTGGGCCAGGGAGATAAGAGCCAAGGCAGTTACTTTGCAACCAGGCCCAGAAATAACCTCTGGGTTACTTCTCCATTTGTAGTTCCCTTGGGAGAGCAGAGGAGGGGAAAGGATCCAGGCCTCCTGGCCCTCAGGGCTACTTGTCCCTGCTGCCTTGGAGGCCTGGGCTGGAATATGGGCAACAAATGTGCACTGTCCAGTAGGAGACCTGGAGTTGAGTGCCCCCTTCCACTCCCCAGTCTTAGCAGAGCAATTTGGCCGCCTGGGCTCAGCATTTGCTGAATTTTCTTTGGACTGCTGGGAATTTGGCTGGGCTTGGTTGGTTAGAATTTTGATATTTTGTTCCTCAAGGATGTTTTGCATTAATTTTGACTTTAAAGAAAGACTGTGTTAAAATACTATTTATCCTGCATACTGAATTTTTTTTTAGTGCCTCCTTAAATTTTGCATCTAAGATGAGGGCCTCACTTGGCTGATCCGAGTTCTGACTCTGGACTCTCCTATCAGCCTCTAGTAAGAGAGAGAAGGTAAACTTGGGGTGGGGAAGATGACCTATCAGTGTCTGGAAGATTCTAYATGTAGCTTTTCATTCTAGCTCCGCCTCTTGGCCAGCCATGGACATATGCCTTGAGGTTGGACACAATGGCATGTTCTAGATCAGCGATCCCCAGATGTTCCAGAGGACATTAGGAAATGAGGGGAGACATTGTTGGTTGTTCTCAGGGGAGCTGCTACCGACATCTAGTAAGATGATATCTCGTAGATGTCAGGGGTGTTGTGGAGCTTTCCACAATGCCCAGGGCAGCCCCCCACAACTATTAATTGGCCCCAAATATAAACAGTATAAAGGTTAGGAATCCCTGATCTAGATTTTCAGTACAGAGGAAACAGCAAGGTTTTTCACACACTAAAAATGAGAAAGAGAGGGAGGGAGGGCAGGGGGTGAGGATATGGGAGGAGAGGAGAAAAGAGTTGGAGCTAGAGAGACTTAGAAATCCCAGTTCCTTCACTTTCTGTGTAACCTTGGCAAGTTGTGTTCCTCCACTACGCCTCATTTCTCACATCTGTGAAGCACAAATAGTCAAACATTCGTGGTGGAAATGGGTGAAGGGAAATAAGAGCTCAAGGGAGCGTTGCTCCCCGAGGTCCCTACTTCTGGGATACTGATCATGGGAGGCTACTCCTGAGTTAAGGGGCATTGTTTAGATATTATTTAGATTTTTTTGCGGGGGTGTGCCGGGGATTGAACACAGGGGCACTTGACCACTGAGACACATCCCCAGCCCTATTTTGTATTTTATTTAGAGACAGAGTCTCACTGAGTTGCTTAGCACCTTGCTTTTGCTGAGGCTGGCTTTGAACTTGTGATCCCTGAGCTGCTGGGATTACAGACGTATGCTACCATGCCCGGCTAGATGGAGAACTTTAAGGGACACTAATAATAATATGCCTGGACAATAGGCATGGCAGCCAGGCAAGACAGTGTGTGTGGGCTCCCATTCAGGGCAGCAGGCTGGACAGGGCAGGGYCCTGCAGTCCCAGGAGAGAGCAAGACCCAGAGGTAAGAAGACTGAGCCAACAGTTGTTATCAGCTCTACTGCCCCAGCCCTGGCCTGGGGCAATCATCCTGGCCTCTTCCCACTTCCCCAAAAGCCCAGCATAAAGGCTGCTTGTGGGGCCCAGCACTGAACTTGGAGGAGCCAGAAGGTGAGTACTCTTCTTGTTGCCACGGGAGGMGGGGTTCAGAGCCTGGGAGGAAATGGGACCTCAGATGGAGAAAACACCTAGGAGACCTGTCCTGAGGTGGTCAGTGATGGCCACTATCCTCCCTCACTCCTCCCCAGCATGAGGGAAATCAGCAGCCCTGTTCCTATAAGGTCTGAGATTGTGGTCCAGGATTGTGTGAGGATTTCAGGAAAAGGGGACTTTTGCACCCGTGCTGTGCCTTCCCCATTCCTTTCCTAGATGCTTCAGCTCAGGGTCTGTCCACTGGAGGAAGAGGAAGCCCTCTAGTTTGTCCTTTAATCAATTAATTAAACAAATATTGCTGCTGTACTTTGTGCCAGGGGTTGTGCTAGACACACAGACAGCCTCGAGGAGGAAGGCGGAGTTGTGTCYGGCTACGAGACTGAGTAGACATGAAACACCCCCTGCACCTAGCCCTTCTCCTGCTGGGGACAGTTTCTGCTCTTTATCTGGGTAAGTAAGTCCTCCCATCCCCTTCTCACTCGTCATTTCTCCTTTCTCCTATTTTTAATGTTCCCCTCCCTTTATTTTCACTCCCATGGGGCAGGGCCAGTCTCTCCTCCTCAGTTGATCTGGCCCATCTCTGGCAAGATTATCCTGAACTTAGAATTGGGACCTGAATTTTCTCTCAGRGTTCCTTCATAAGAGGCAAGTGCCCACCTGTTAGGATGAAGAGCTGGTGGCTGTCCCAAGATTCTCACACCTTCTCCTTCCTCCTGCCCCCAAATGTACACCTTTAGAGTCAGCCAGGGGTCAGATTCTCATCCATCTGTGATTCTGACCCAAGACATCTCTCCTCATCCAACATGGAGGAGGCCGTTTGGGCTGGCTCTGGAGGACCGGAGCAGGATGGTTGGAGCTGTCCATGGTCCTGGAAGGAGGGAGCCTCTGATGTGATGGCAGGCTACCTCTTCTTCCTAGAAAATGATGCCCCCCATCTGGAGAGCCTAAAGACAGAGACAGACCTGGATCAGGATCCAGATGGCTCAGGGGAGCAGAAGGGAGAGTTGGCCCTGACTGAAGAGGTGATTCAAGTAGAGGGCGATGAGGTCAAGACTTCAGGGTATCAAGAAGCCTTTGAAGATGAGGAGGCTGTGGAGTCAGGCCCACCTCCTTTAGAGCAGAACTTGCTATGCCCCAGGGAAGAGGATACTGTTCAAATTCAGGGAGATTCTGGGTGCAAAACCTGTCGCTATCTGCTGGTACAAACTCCAAAGACATTTTCTCAAGCTCAGGTAAGTGGCCAGGAGCTTCTGTGCAGGGTGGGAAGGGGAATGGGGCCTCAGAGAAGAGAGTAGGTCCAAACTTCTGTCCTCTAGTTGTTTAACTTAGTGGCCCACACACCCTAGTTTCAGAATCACCAGGAGGTCTTGTTAAAATACAGATTTGAGGACTTCACTCCCACAATTTCTGGGGCTGAGCCTGAGAATCTACATTTGAAACAAATTCCCAGGTGGCAATGATATTGTTGGTCTGAGGACTGCACTTTGAGAACCACTAATTTGAAGAAAATCATGGGTATTAGATACATCTGTGTTCAATATTATTTATACTTTCAGTGGTCTGTCACCTGGGCAAGTAGCCACATCTTTCAGAGCTTCAGTAGCTTCATTTGTAAGATGAAGAAATACGGTTGTCTCTCAGTTTGCATGGGGTATTTATTCAAGGACCTCCCCCCCGCCCCACCATAGATAACCAAATCTTCAGATGTTCAAGGCTCTTATATAAAAATGGCAAATTATTTGCATATAATCTGTGCAATTCCCTCCATGTACTTGAAATCTTCTCTAGATTACTTATAATATTGACAGTATAAATCCTACATAAATTACTGTTATAGTATATTGTCTAGAGAATAATGACAAGAAAAAAGTCTGTACATGTTCAGTACAGATACAATTTAAAAATTTTTGATCTGTGATTTTTAAAGATGTGTGAATGAGAAACCCACAGATACAGAAAGCGGACTGAATACTACCAATATCTTAGAGTCGTGAAGGTTAACTGAGGTAATGCATTCAGGATAGTTAGAATTAACACTCAGTAAATAGTGACTATAAATAAGTATTATTATTAATAATAATTATTATTATTTCCTGAAAGAATGCCCTGGCAACTGATTAAGGAGCAAAAGTTATTGAGGGAGAGAAGTAGGTCCCTTATTTCTAACTTGAAAATGGTTGTAGGTGTCTTGATTGGAGACTCAGGAATTTGAGAAAAAAGAGAGTGAATTTTCTACCTCCCCCCTTATCTCTGCAGAATGTCTGCAGGAGATGCTACCAAGGCAACCTTGTCTCCATTCACAACTACAATTTCAACTATCATGTTCATTGTTTGGCCAGTAAGATAAACCAGGCCCAGATCTGGATCGGAGGCATCCTCAGGGGCTGGGTAAGTCCGGGGCCAACTACTCAATACAGAAAATTATTTTTGATTGTTTTAAGGGAGCACCTGCTGGGGCCAAGCGTTAACCTAGCAGAGATAGGGTTTCCATAGAGGGGTAAGCAAACAAGTGCCAGAGCTGGCTTGTGCTGTTAGGAGAGAACAAATTACACACATCTCCGAGCTCTAACTCCATGCTGGTAGCTTAAAATCAGACATGGTATCCTTTACACCAAGGATATGTCCATCTGTCTTCATTACCCCAACAAAATGTCTGTGAGAATCAACTTTTCAGGAAGAAGGTTTATTTTGGCTCACTGTTTCAAYCCACGGTCATTTGATCGTGTTTCTTTGGACCGGTGGCAGCACAGAATATTGTGGCAGCAGTGTATGGCAGAGGAGATGTGTTCACCTCATCGCAACAGGAAAGAAAAGAAGAGAGGAATGGGCCAGGGTCCCAAAATCCCCTTCCAGAGCACACCCCCATTGACCTAACTGCTTTCCTGCCTTATTTTTGTTTGTTTTGGGGGGTACTGGGGATTGAACCCAATAGTGAACTGCCTTTGGGCTACATCCCCAACCATTTTTTAATTTTTATTTTGAGTAAGTTGCCCAGGCTGGCCTCAACTTGTGATCCTTCTGCCTCAGCCTCCTGAGTCACTGGGACTCATCCCAGCACTTGGCTTAGGCCCCGCCTCTTAAAAGTGCCACCATCTCCCAATCACACTATGGGCTACTGATCAAACCACAAGCACATGGGCCTTTGTGGGACATTTCAGAACCCAAAATATCATGTTATACATCAGGGCTCCTTCCTACTTCCCATTTTCTCACCTTTCCCCAGAGCTGGTTTCAAAAACATTTACCAGTATAACACTCAAGTCATGAGACAGATTCTAGGTTCATGCTGGTCACTTACTAACTGAAGAGCTTTAGGAATCCTAAGCTTCTTCATTTCTACAATTGGGATCTTCTTATCTTGGGGTGGCTCTGAGATTGTGGATGAATAAATGCCATTACATTTGGTACTCGAGGTGTGGTCCATGGGCCAGCAGTATCAGCATCACCTGGTAGCTTGTTAAATATGCAGAATCTTGGGCCCAATCCCAGGTCTCCTGAATCAGAATCTGCATGTTAGCAAGATCCTCCAGTGTGGTTGGAGAAGTCTGCTCTGTGGGATGGCTGGGACAAATGGTTGCCATTGCCTACAAAGCTTTAGGAATGGGTTGCAAGGGTATCTGGCCCCTGGCCAGGCAGGCAGAAAGGGAAGGCAGCAGTGGCTATCTCTGAGTACCTGGATCTGCCTTCCTAGACCTCTGCCCTCTGATCTGCCTTATCTTTTCTCCAGTTCCTGTGGAAGAAGTTTTGCTGGATTGATGGAAGCTCCTGGAATTTTGCATATTGGGCCTTAGGGCAACCTGGGTGTTCAGGAGGCCACTGTGTGACCCTATGTTCTAAAGGTGAGGGGAATGGGCCCCYGGGGAAGGAGAAGGGGGTGACAAAGTGGATTCTCAGAAGCTATCCCTTTGAGCTGCCTGGACACATCTCCTTAAGCTCACATCCAGCTCCAACTTGTGAGTTATCACTTGTCTGTGAGAAAAGCTGAGATACAGGGATCCCTTGAATAAAACCAGGTGGCAGGGGTCCTCTAGGTATGAGGGAGTTGGCTAGGGGTCCTTAACTTCCTCTGATAAGAGGGTGACAGATTCAAGTGGTCAATGTGAAAATGAGAGCGACACATGGATATAAGGTGTGAATGAAGGAGAAGGCCGGGTGTGGTAATTAGAGATGGCTGAGAGACAAGATGCCAGCTTCAAACAGCAGATGTGGGCAACAGCATGCGCGGCAGATGTGAGGGAGTTTAGTTAGTGGCTAAGACCATATGTGCTAGAGCAAGAGGGCTAGGAGTCACATTCCAGCTCTGCCACTTGCCAGGCAGGTTACAGGCAAGTTACTGATCTCCACCAAGCCTCAGTCTCCTCTTTGTGGGACAAGGATCATGACAGCACCTTGCCTCTTGGAGTTGAGGTGAGGACAGAAGGTGACAGTCGACGGAAAGCACTTAGCACATTGCCCAGGTCATGGTATGGCTTGGTAAATGTAAGTTAGTGTGTCCAAGGCCCAATGACGATGGCTGCRGAAGGGACAACCGAGGTACCTTAGGAGGGAAGGGGTGGGGCGTMGGCCAGACCCGGAGAGGCCGCTGACATCACTGTGCTCTCTACTTCCAGATGGCCGCTGGCGACGAGCTCCGTGCCATAGGCAGCTGCCCTTCGTCTGCTCCTTCTGAGCCAGTGGCGCGGGGAACCAGCCTTGGAGCCTCAGGCCTCTGGCTGCCCCTGCCCCGCTCTGGGCCCTGGACTCTGCCCCCAGCCCGTCCTGGCCATAAATCCACACTTCTCACAGCATTCCCTGGGTCTTTTTTTCTTCATTGCTCTTTCTGGGGGCTCCCCAGCTTGGGAAAGTCCTGGAAGCCTTCCCCTCTGCGGGGAAGTGAAAGATGGCGGCGCCGGGCCGCCGGCGGCGGTGCGGAGCTGCTGCGCGGCAGCGCCACCTGGAGGCGGAGCGGGGGCCAGGCGCGCCCTCGGCCGGYTTTGCCTCTCCGCACCCGCTCACCGCCGCGGGCAGGTCGCCTTCGGTGCCGGGTGGGGAGCCCGCCTTGCACGGATTCAGTGTGAGCCGCGGGGCGGGGCGGCTTTCCAAAATGCAGGTGAAGATCCCACTTGGGGGACGCCACTTGGGAGAAAGTACCTGGTCTTGGGGCAACCCGCTCCTGGTCCAGCCCTGTGCTCTTGGGCCTCTGAGAATGACTCCCATTTCCGGTTCTTGCAGCCATCTCTGTTCACAAGCCAGCAGAGAGAAAGTCGTACCTCCTCCATCGCCGCCTGCCTCTGCAGAGGGGCCAGTCTTAGGAAGAAGCTGCCTCCCGCCGGCCAGGGCCTTGCAGCCCGAGGCAAGATGTCTGCTGGCAGCACGGTTCCCATTCCCCGTTCTATACAGCCCCGGGCCTCTCTCCTTCACCCACTTTCTCAGAAAAAAAGACCCTGGGGACTTGGCGAGAGAACACTATCCTTGGCCTTAACTTTGTGCCAGCTGGGGCATTGGGCTCCAAGAGGGATTGAGAGTTCACGAAGCAGGAAGTTTAGAGCTGAGACYGGGTATTAAGARGGCAGAGTTGTGWGTGAGAGAGGGAGGGAGAGAGAAAGGTGTTGTTGTGCGCCCATGTACATGTGTATGTATCTATTTTGGTATCTATTTGAGGTATTCTTTATATACATGAGTATCTGTATATAAAAACCTATATATGTGAATGTGCATAAATGTGCATGTATTTGTGTGTTGAGTGCACATCCTTTTATACCTCTATGTATTTATGAGTGTATCTGTACGTGTGTCCCTATGAATGTTTATGTGTGCTTACATGCTTGAATCTCTATGTGTATTATGTATGTGTGTGCATATCTGTGTGTTTGATCAGTGAGTGTGCGTGTGTTCATGTGTCAGTGTGTACCTGACCCAGATAGCCAGTGTGTACACATAGATCTGTATTTGCATCTTGATGGGATGTGGCTTTAGGGTTCATTTTTTTCTAAATGTACTGTTTCCCAGCGTGCTGGGGTTGAGAGAAGAGGACAGGGGTCAGCCCTGGGGTATGGGTGGTGGAGAAACAACAGGGATGAGTCCTTTGAACATGGGCAGGTCTCTGGATGCAGGTGAATAAGCGTTGGTATGGCCATGAACCTCACTGATCCTGGTCTTCAGGAACTTGAGGTGAAAAGACCTATGCTCAGTAGAAGTGTTCATCCCTCCATCCCTTGGATGGAGATGGGGTCAGCCAGCTTCTAATCCCAGCATGTCAGGTAATCATTCTCCTCAAAGTATGGAAAGGGAGCTGCCTGGGGGGTAGGGACTCATGCAGGTCTCTGTGTTGAACACTGCAATAAGCCAATGTTTGATGCTGTGCTTCTAAAAGGAATAGTGGAATCCAACTCCAGGGAGAGGGAAGGGGAGCTCTACCTAGGTAGTTATGGGAATGGTATTTCAGTTGAAGGCCAAGTCCCCTTTCATCAACCTCCACATCCCTCCCTTGTGGCAAATAGCCTCTAGCCAAAGCCAGTAGCCCAATATCTTGACCAGAGATAGAGGCAGGAAGGAGAAAGAAAGAGGGAGGCCAGAATCCTCTCAGGCTGAAGCTTCCTTGGGGCAGGCCAGAGTAGGTTCCTCAAATCTGATGCTGTGTATTATTGGGTCTCTACTTCAACTTTTATATATTGGTTCATTTGGCTGTTTAAGACCTTCTGGTTTTGAATAGCTCTTGATTAAGAAGCAAATGCTCTTGAGAGAAGAAATTCCCTAGAAAGTTTACTAATTCCTCTGGGAGACTGATTGACAAATTGCTGAGAACAAAGCTTTTTTAGGAAAAAACACTCAAGGGAAGGAGGTGTGGAATTGTCAGTGGGTATGGTGGGCATGGTGGGTGGGGAGGGAAATATTACAAAAGAGAAGACAGTGCTGTGGTCACAGTTTTCTCTTCCTGAAGACCCAAGAAGACTGTATTTCCTAGTATTCCTTGCACTAAAATTGGGTCTGCAGACTGCTACTGAATCTAGCTAGTAGGATATGGTGAGAAGTAGGCCACTTTCAGGCCTGGTATCTAAATGATTCCCATGATCCACCAGCTCCCACTTTTCCTGTCGCAGTGACCTGGGAGCCCATGTGTCTCTGATGGCATAGCTACCAGATGGAAGAGGTTGTCTGACCTACTTTGTTTGATTAAACCTTGTGCTTTTACTTGTGACCGAAGCAAAATCTATTTAAGCCCAAGACATATAGAAAAGAAGGTGTCAACAAATTTCTTGATTTTTTTTCCCAGATAGACCACAGGAGTCAAGATCCCAGGCTCCAGAATCACAAATTGCTGGGGTTCAAGTACCAGTTTTCTCATTTCCACCTCTCCATTTTAGTCAGCCTCAATTTCTTCTTCTGTAAAAYRAGGGTTGAATTAGGCATTGCCTGTCACACATTTAGCCCTTGCTTGCCAATGGGTGAGCATCAAAAAATGCTAGTTTTCATGCTGAGTAATTAAAGCAGCAATGTAGTGTTAGGCGTGAGCATGGTTTTCCAGCTCGAATTTCCACCTACTGTCAATTTGTTTTTCTATCAAACAGGATTAATAACAAACCATAGCAACCTCACCAGGGTTGGCGTGAAGGTCCATGTGATTGTGTTGGTGATTGTGCGGAGCAAACCACGACGTGACAGAGACAAGTTAGCTGTTGTCATTAGTACTGATATTAGCGCTACGTCTAGCACATAGAAGTGGTACTGGGTTCAGATATGGGGAGGACAGCACCAGGCTCACATACACTTACTGGCAAGCTCAGGAGGGGCTGAGGCACCTGCAGGAGGATCACCCCAGTCTGGGGGAAAGGGAGGAGCTGGGGGAAAGGGTCCCTCTGCAGGACACATCTCCTTCTTAGCATCCCTGTGAGTCCAGCCTCAGACTCAGTCTCTCTGAGTCTCAGTTTGTCTTCCTGAGAGCTGGATTCACCAGGGCTGCCTGTGGGACTCCTGGCTGGAGGGCGTGCCATGGCCTTCTCTGATGTCTCTGCTGGAGAAATGAAGTTTGGTCAGGTCTCCCAACACCACCCAGTTCCTGAGGCTGGCCCTGGGGTGATGTCACCCACCACCCTGAGAAGGGGACTGTGAGTGAGGGCAGAGCTATGGGCCTCAGGTGAGRGAGTATTGCCCCTTCTCCCCCTGAGATGGGAGATCACTGGGGTTGGGCTTTTGCAAATGCACCCAGTGTGAACCTCCCCAACTGCTCACAGACCTGCCCCCGCCTCATTTCCCTGCACCTTCTAGTGAGGGGCCAGCCCCCCATCTATCATTCAGCTCGTTTTTGCTGAGACCTTATGATCATGTCCACACTCCAGCTTTTCCAGATGCAGATTTACCAGGAATCCCAGGAAACTCACACCCCAGGGTTCTTGCTTGCATAAGYCTCTTCTAATTCCTAATTTTATATCAGTTTTAAGAAGATGTTTCTAAATTGTATATGGTGTGGGATTCCTAATGGCTGGGTCTGCCCTGAACTCTGTCCTGGTGTGTTTGGGGGCCTCTCAGTGTATGAAAGCCCAGAAGGGAGGCAGTGGGACATCTGGGCCAATGGAGCCAGGGTGAYGCTCTTTCAAGCTTCCTCCTCCTCCTCGGAGCAGCAGGACACCTGGGTTCTCTCTTGGCCACTAACTCTGTGGAACTGGACCAGTTTTTCCCTCTTTCTGGCCTTAGTTTGCTCATCTGTAAGGAACAAATTGGGACAAGATGGTTTCTGAGGCCCCTCTAGGTTCTACCTTAGAAGACTACCATCTATTAGGATAGGCCGGGCTACCTGGCTGASCAGCTCACAGCACATTGGGTCCCACTGCAGCTTTTTCGTTGACATTTTAAATAAAGACTGCTGAGCTGCTGGGACAGGGCCCAACTGCAAACACAGAATCACCTCCCCCCACGGCGTGGCCTGATCTGGCTCCCGGAGTGGTTTGGGGACTGAGCTKTGGGACAGTCGTGCCTCCTATTTCCTTCTGAACTAGGAACCCACCCAAGTGAGAGATGAGACCCACTGTCTCAATAGGCTCCCCTACAGTGGGGCCTGAGTTCCTGGGAAAGCTTGGGGTTACTCTTTATTAACCTAATCAGGGTCAGAGACAGACGGGCAGCTGTTGCAGTAAGGGACTTCCTTCTTCTCTTGTGGGTGTGGGCAAAGGTGTTGGTCAGACCTGGGTTCAAATCCCAGTTCTCTCACTTCCTGGCTGTGTGGCCTGGTACCATTSGCTCAGTCTCTCTAAGTCTCAGTTTGTCTTCAAAACAGGGAAATGAGTATTTGCCTTAGAGGATTATCTGAGGATTAAATGAGACAGTGTGTGTGGAAGTGCCTGGCACTTGGTAGGTCCTTGTGGGCACCCGTCATGTCATTACTATTAGTATCTCTACTCTTTGGAAGGGGGCAGCTTAGGTGCTGCAGTCCCAGGGTCCTGGGAAGCAGATGGGGGCATGCAAAGGATGAAGGTGAACTGAGGTTGTAGGGGGAGCACTACCAGTCTGCAGGAGCATGGGAGGCCCTGTCCCCTGGCTCCCAGCCGTGGCCCCATGGGGWGGGCCACAGAAGTTAGAGCCCTTATTCTCCCCCACCCCCTTGCCAGTGGGGCTCCCTGTTGGGAGGCCTGGAGCCCAAGGGTGAGYGTGGGGCATCAGTGGCCAATGGAGTAAGCCCCTGAGTCCGTAGACTGCTTCTCCTCTGTGGCCTGGTCCCTGGAGAACTCTGGGTTGGCGATCTTCAGTGTTGCTTCGTTCACCTGCAGGCAGAAGGACTGACATTGTTTTGCTGTGACAGGGCAAGATCCCACTGAAGCCAGATTTAAAGATAGGTAGTTAGTGTAGTTAGGTAAATCAGGTCTGACATCAAGTAAAATCGAAAATGAAGACTGAGTTGAGAATGGAGTCCAGGAAAAGCAGAACAACTCTTGGAATGTTAATGTTCCCAAGGCCCAGAGCCCATCTCCCCAAAAAGTTAATGAAACAGCTCCCAGCAAAGATGGAGATGCTAATCCAAAAGTCCTTCCGGCCCAGATTACTCCTTTGGCCCACCTGTRCCCCACCCTTTGGGCCTTCCCACCTACATTCCATCACTGAAAGTTAACAGAACAAAGGACAGGAAYGYGGGAAAGCTGAAGAAGACCTTAGCTATAAAAGGGGGAAGACATGGCCCTTCCTCGGATTCCACCTCTTGGGTCCTCTTCCTCCTCCGGGGAGAAGTCTTTTCTGCTGTCCTTTAATAAAGCTTCTACTTTCCACTCTAAACTTGCCTCCGTGTGCTTCTCTGGTGTTATGCTTTAACATTGGAGAAGCAAGGACTCGTCACCCGTCAACAACAGTAACACCCTCAGACAGAACAGGTGGTTGGGGCCATGGCCTGGTCATTAGGGGAGCTACACAAGCCTGTGTGATCCCAAGACTCTTCCCATGTACTCCAGGGACAAAGAAGAACCTGAGCCATCCCAAGGCAGGATGTGTCCCCCTGTAGAAATGGGGAGGGGACAATGAGTGGGTGAGGACTTGTTGACAGTGATGATTCACAGAACTCCAAAGCTCTTCCAAGAGTCCTCTCACCCAAATGTTCTCTTGTCTGGACGTTCAATATTGATTGAGGCCCATTGAACTTCCCTCCAGGGAACCCCGAGAGGTGAGTCACCAGGGCCCTCCACGTGTCACCCCCACCCCACTCACCTCTTCAAACTTCTTGGCTTTGTACTGGTCGGCCCCCTTGAGGAAATTGAGCAGGATGATGTCACAGAGGACTGTCCCCTGGAGGAGGAGAGGCAGGGCAGGCTCAGAGAGGTGGCCCTGGGAGGGGTGGGATCAGGGAGGCTGGAAGCCATGGGTTCAAGTGGCTACTGAGCTGCCCCCAGACAGACAGTGGGTCAGGCGTGGGGGCGATTCCTCCAGAGAGGCCGGACTGAGGACTCCTCTAACAAATGCCCAGGGCCTTTGCAGGTGTTGTCATGGCCACCTTCCTGGCCCCTTTCCAGGCACAGGGCTTGGAGAGAGGAATGAAGGACCCCCAGTCTGTGGGAGCAGGACTCTGACACCACCTTGCTCTGGAGTCTCCTCCCCACCTTCACGGTGAGAACCAGAAACTCTGTAAGATGTGGAACTTGCTGGAAGGCAACTCGGGGATAAGGAGCTCGGTGGGAATGCTGGGGGACCGTCAACCCAGGGCCTTACCTTCCAGCCCAGGTAGGGCTCGCCTTGGCCACGCCCCCTCCCCTGGCCCCGCCCCTTCCTGGGCCCCACCCGGGCTGTCCCGTCTGACCCCCCCAGAGGCTGAACTCACCACTCCCACTGAAGTAAAGGCCGCCACGGAGCTGATGATGGTGGGGATGATGTTGAACTTGCCGGCCTGTGTGCGCAAAGATGGGGGAGTAGGCGGAGGGCCGGAACGCGGGTGGAAACTGAGGCTGAACGCGGTCTCCCAGCCAGAGACTCTCACAGGGCCATAGAGCAACGGCAGGGCCCACCCCTTCATGGTACAGGTGAGGGGACGGGAGATGCGACCGCTGGTCAGCCCCTGCAGGGCCCAGCAGCTGGCCTGGGATGCCCCTCCTGCTGTCCACACGCCGGGCCCCAGGACTCACGTTCCCATACACCAGCACGTCGAAGCGGATGCCGAAAGCCTTCAGGAGCGTGCGGTACTCGCTGCCATTCTCCATCTTGTAGTACTTGGCAAACCTGGAGGCCAGGGGTGAAAGTGGGTCCCACTGCGGGCTCCTTTCTCTCCTGTCCGAGCCCTCAGGGTCCCTAGAGGACCCTTGACCCTCAACAAAGTATCCCTTACTGATGGTTTGGTGAGACACTTGCCACCGTCCTCCCTGGGTGGTTACCTGACCACTTACACAGGCTTCCTTGTGGGAACTTAAGAGCAGCTTCCTGGGTCACACCATGAACCCACAGGGTTAGCATCTCTGTTGGTCTGATGTCCTATGTGTACACAAGCTTGAGACCCTGCTGGACTCTGGGCTTCTTCAATGCTACTCATTTGGGATCCAGGGTCCAGCTCACTGCTGGTGCTCCTGCCTCTGCTGCCTTCTCAACCTGGCTGTCTTACCTACCAGCTGTGCAGGCTTGGGCTAATTATTTAACCTCTCTGAAACTCAGTTTCCTCATTGGCATGTGGGGACAATACAAAAATCTTGCTTCACAGGGTTGCTATGTGAATTGAATGAAACCACATGTTAGGGGTTTAGAACAGTCCTGGGACAAAATAAGCACTCAGCAAATATTTGCTGATGTTGACTGTTGTTATTTGCTCAAGAAATATGTTTACATTTATAGACTGGTGGGAAAAAAAGTGCTTCCAGCCACCTCATCTCCTCTCATCCCTGCCCGGTCCTATGCAACAGGGAAGTGAATGTTCTTTTGCAAAGAAGACTCTGAGAGGTGRAGTCACTTGTTCAGGGTCACCCAACTGGTGAGAATCAATGCTGTCTTCGTCCGAGTCTGAGACCGTCTGGTACCTTGGCCAAGACTATTCTCTATCTTGAGTCCTGGGTACCATGAACTGTGCTGAGGATTTGAGAATAACCACGTTTAATTCTCTCCACAGACAGCATGGGCATTCCACACAGAAGGGACAGTCCATACTCCCATCTGCGGAAGGCTGTGGTGAGGAGGGGCCTTGCCTGTAGTTTCAATTAGTAAGCTCCGGATTTGGGATTTTATGGCATTAGTCATTTGGTTTTTAAATCTAGAGCACTTGACCCTGCATGACTGCCCAGCATAGCCCAAATGCTAACATTAGTGCACTCTAATCTCTTTGGGTTACTGTCCCACAGCTGAACAATGGGTTCCTGATGTCAGTCTCCTTGARAGTGGTGAGGATTAAGTGAGATGACCGGAATGAAAAAGCCCAGAAAGTTCTGCAAATGTTGGGGTCAACACAGCTCTTATTTAGTGCTGGCTGCCTCCCTCTGAGTGTTCCCAGCCCCCAGAGATTCACAGGCCTCTCCCAGCAGAAAGAAGGAGGTGAGAACTCATTCCCTGGAAGTTTTCAATGAATGACCATACACGGTGGTGCATGCCTGTTATCCCGGCTACTCAGGAGGCTGAGGCAGGAGGATTCCAAGTTGGAGGCCAGCTCAGTTACTTAGACCCTGTCTCAGAATAAAATATAAATGGCTGGGGATGTAGCCAGTGGTAGAGTGCACCTGGATTAAAAAAGAAAAAGAAAGAAAGAAAGAAAGAAAGAAAGAAAGAAAGAAAGAAAGAAAGAAAGAAAGAAAGAAAGAAAGAAAGAATTTTTTTTCGAATGACGGAAGTGGTATCTCTTCCATAGATATTTGCATTTGAAATTGTACAGCAGGGAGAAGGAAAAGCTCAGCCCAAGCAAATCAATAATGGAGGGATTATAGAAACCGGAGGAAGATAATTGTGATGGGGAAGGGTCACCTTCAATCATAAAACATTGGCTATGCTCTGGCTGTAGCCAACTCCTTGGGCAGTGGGGAAATCTGGAGAGAGGCAGAGATGTGTAAAACCTGCTTCATCACTTGCTAGCAGTGATGTTCCTTAGTCTTTAGGGTGTCAGTTTCCATGACTAAAAAATAGGGGTGGTCATACACAACCCCCGAATTGCTAGTGGTGGTAGGTAAACACTTCATGGGACTGAACCCTGGAGGCAGACACCACAGAAACCCCTGTTAGTGATTTTGTCCACCTGCCCYTCCGTGCTCAGTCTCTGCCGGTCTTTGTCCAGCTCTGGGCCCCAGGAGCCTCATCTAAGAGACAGCTTCCACCAGTTGCCCTGTTCAATTTGCAGGCGGGTTCTGTAGATAGACCCACAGAAATCAGGGGGTGGGARGACAGGAGGGTCAGGGTGTTTAGTCTGCTGAGGCTCAAGCAATGGCTCAGTTCCCCCTCAAAGGCCAAGAACCTGAAGGCAGCCCTGTCCTGCAGCTGTGGATTTCTCTGGGTTCTGGAAATGTCCCCTCTTTGCCTATGCCAGCCTTCTTGGCAGCTAGCCTAGAGGTCTTCCACCAGCCTCCTTGGTTCCTTGACCCCAGTGCCTCTTTGTGAATAGCACCTTCACCTAATCACCTCTTTGGAGACCACCCACTGTTTCCCACYGCCAGGACACTTACCCTAGTCACCCCCAGGAGGCAGAGGAGGAAGCTCAGGCCTAGGGAGCTCTGTCGGGTGGGGAAGGGGTGCGGGAGCACAGGGCAGCACATTTTTTTCTGCGGTGCCTGGGCAAGGCCAGGACCTGTGTGCCCAGCAAAGGTGGAAGACTGGTGAGAAAAAGGCYCCTGGGGGAGCTGGACCCAGGAAGTTCTTTCCTGTGAGCTCTGCAGCTGGAGGGAGAGGCAGGGGAGGCAAGAGGGTCTTCTCAAGTCCATGAGGCCCAAGGTGAAATGAGAGTGGGCCCAGGGAGGAGGCTGAAGGCATTGCCACCACTCGGCCTGAGAAGGAAAGGCTTGGAGGCCGGGGACAGGTGGGACAGGTGACCCATCTCTAACTCTAGTAACTTCTGTCTGGGTGGTGGGTGGGAGGGAGCTTCACAGACCAAGGGAACAGGATGAATTCAAGCTGCAGCAGCAGGATGACAGGTAGACATGGGAAGGATATCATTTCTCTAAAGATGGTGTGATCAGGCCAAGAGCCTTCTCTGAGGAGACCTCTAAAGGAGGTTTCTAAGAAGTCTGGAAAAGAAGTATCTGCAGTGGGCAGAGGCTCCAGAAGTCTTCCTGGATTCCAGGTTGGCCTGAGGGTAAGTAGAGACCATGACCCTTTCCACACCGGCAGCCATTTATARAGCACCGGAAGTATACGCAGATCCCTTAGCATTAGCAGCTCAGTTAATCTCGGGAAGAATGTGTGGTTGTTGAACCATTTTCTAGAKGAGACAGATGAGAAGGTAACTCTCCTGAGCAGGGTTCTGATCTGTGCTGCTGACTCTGAAGGCCATACCCTTAGTCCCACACMGTCCGCCTTCGGCTCTAGGTGGCTGTTAAGGGTGCAGGCAGCCCTGTACTGTCTCAAAGCCCTACTGATTCTGGGTTTTACATCACTGGAGAACTCAAGGCCCCTGTCTCAGAGCTGTGACAACTGATGCCAATGAGGCAGGCARGGGCGAGAGCATGGGCCACAGGCATGAGCATCAGGATAAAGGTTGGGCCTTCACTCCCAGCCTAAGGCTATGGCCACGAGAAACGCTCTGACACTGACGTGGAGAACAAGAAGTCTGCATCCYGGGCACTGCTGTTTGGAGCGAGGGCTGGCTGAATTTATTCTGGGAAGGAATGTGAAGGAAACAGGGAGAAAAATCAAAGCGGTCTTGGTTTTTCTCCAGCACCTGCCTTCCAAGAGGCAATAAGCATGGGAAGATCATTATCTCACCAGCCACCCACCCTCGAGGCTTGGCAGGGACAGACTCTCCTCCCCAGGGGGGAAGGAGGAGGAGGGACAGCTTGGGGAGGAGAGTCCCACAGTCCCGATTCCTGTGCTCCAGTGTGGAGATCTGGCTGACCCCTGGGGCAGAGATGGCCGGTGGTCACAGGTCTGAGTTACCTTCTCTCTCTCAGCACATGTTTTGGAACCCATTTTTTAGTCCCTTGTGTCTAGCTGGGGCCCCAKGACTATTTCTTGCCTGTAGAATGTGAATGAAAGTGAGGCTTGTCCAGAGGTGAGGGGAGGTGGTTCAGAGCAGCTTCTCTTCTTCATCYTCCCTTTCCTCACCTGGTGGCCAGTTGCTCAGGAGCTAGGGGGAGGTCTCTGAGGCCCTGGGAAAGACTGAGTCAAGATGGCAGGAGCCCAGATCCCTGAATGATTATGTGGGTCCCCCACCCCACCCCCACTGACCTTATATGCCCTGAGCAAGAAATAAACCTTTGTGTTAAGCCACTGAGGTGAAAGGATTTTTTGTTATAGCAATTAGCAGTACTTACCCAGACTGTCACAGACCCTCCTAGGTTTGTAATTTTTGTGTCACTAGGGACTGAACCCAGGGACACTCTACTACTAAGTTACATCCTCATCCTTTTTTATTTTTTATTTGAGACAAGGCCACACTAAATTGCCCATGCTGGCCTTAAACTTGTAATCCTCTTGCCTCAGTCTCCTGAGTAGCTGGGACTATAAGCACTTGCCATTATGTCCTGTCAACAAACACAACTGGTTTCATAGATCAGAAGATTGAGATTCAGGGAGAAGAGTTTGCCAAAAGACAAAGAGTGAGTTAAAATTGGGGAGGATTAGATAGAAGGCAAATTCCYAGGATGCTGCATTCTTATGAATAWGCCTGTGCTGATTCCTAACAGGTCCTAGGAATCTGGGTATGCGGCTTGGTTCTCATGAACTGGCTTCTTATCCCTGGGAAAGTCACTCAAACTACCTGAGCCTTCTATGTCAAATGAAAAATGGAAAGAAAAGAGTTATGGGGAGGATCAGTTGAGAAAGGGCCCATACATATTAGATGCTCTTCTTAAACTAGGATCAGGATAAATAAAATAATTTCTACATTTATCTTAAGTATATACTCTTCTCACTCCTGGAGATAGTAATATYAGCAACAGTCACTGCCAACATATACTGAGTGCTCACTGTGTCCCCTGCACTGTGCCAAGTGCTTTATACCTAACTCACTTCATACAACCATCCCATGAGATTATGTACTGTTGTCCCTCCTCCTTTCAGAGAAAGAGCCAGGACCAGAGAGGATAAGCAACCTGTCTAAG